CCCCACCTGCCTCCCATGCCTGAAGATAAGCTGTTGAGTACTTTTTGAAACTTCATTTGAGTTGACGGATGTCGCCGGAGAAAGCAGCCTTTGAAACATTCCAGTTGTAGCCATCCACACGTCTTTCACCCGAGACTGCCACTTGGATATTGGGATGCGGCCCCTGACAGACCACGGCCTCATTCTGTCAATCAGCCGGGTGAGGGTGGGCCCACGGGCTCCTCCTGGCCTCGAGTCCTCTCCTCTCCACTTCCAGGGAGGGGTCTTAATAAAAGTGCTGGTGGCTGCTCTCCCGTAATTCCATCATCTATTCTGGGGCTTAAGGATGGGAACAAGAATAATACCTTCTGTGTGCACAGTGCTTGCCAATGTACAAAGAATAAAGAATAACCATTTTCTCATCTGGCTCTCAGAGTGATGCGCAGAAGAGGATGCTATTACAAGAACTCCCCATGTCCAGCGGAGGAACACAGACCCAGAGAGGCCATGGGGCTTGTCAACGGCCCCCCTAAGTGGATGAGGTGGCATTTAAACCCATGCCTATTTGACTCTCAAACCTACACTCTTTTTTTTGCACCACGCTCTTTCTTAACATCTGACATTTATGTATTATTTTACAGTGTACAGAGCACATTTGCATATATGATATAATTAAATCCAAATCACTGTCGACAGCCGGGGAGATTATCCCAGACGGAATATGAGATTGCTTTTTTTTCCTCTCAAAGATACCTGAGCTTCTTGCTGGTAGTTGTGTCTCAAGGTATTGGGGTGCTGGCAAGGACAGCTCCCTACCCGCTCCTTCTCTCTCCCCACCCTTTAAATCTCTTCCTTATTATCACCTAGAATAGATGTTTCTGTCTCACAGAGAAATTCTAAATGTGCACGTATACAAGTTTTCGGTTTAGAATCACTGGTAGGAAATAAAGCTGAATGATCATGACTAGAATTAGCTTAGTGATTTCGATCTGTGAGCGGAACGTTCCCACAAGAGCTATCTGTGCGGCTGCCTACAGCGAGGTGGTTAATCTCAAGAATCTCAGTCTTCGCTCCATTCTCAGGGTGCCTCAAGGCCCACTCCCCGTCTGCTGCTGCCCGGTCCCCCCAGACGTGAGCACTGTGCCTCCAGGCCTGGGGCTGGGGTCTCGAAGGACTCCATTACAGCAGATGAGTCCTGAGCATTTCCCAGGAGACGGCATTTGGTTTCGTAGCATAGTGACTGAGAGTCCGATTGGGCTGGTCTGTGTCCTGGCTCTGCCACTTACTAGCTGTCTTGTCTTTAGCAAATCATTTCACCTCTCAGGGTCTCTGTTTCTTCATCTGTAAAGTGGGGACAGTAATATCTGCCCCGAGTGGCTTTTACAAGGCACCACCCACAAAAAGCCCAATACAGTGCTTGGGGCGCAGCAGACCCATCCTCCTGTCATCTGCCCACTTTGATCTCCGCGCTCTCACCTCCTTCGCCTGGAGCGCTGTCATAACACTGGTTTCATTTTCTTATTTGATCGCAGACAGCCAATTGCTCGTCTCCACACCAGGCCAGAGCATCTTTGCCCGCATCTCCAGCTCTCAGAGGGCAGGCTCTCAACAACCGTTCGTGGCCTAAATGAGCCGACTGATGGGGATTCACGCAGGGAGGTCAGGAGACCTGGACTCTCGAGTGGTCTCCGCCCCTGCGCACAGCGGCTCTGAGCCAGTTCCTTCCCTCCCCGGGCCTCACTCTCCCGTTCTGTGAAATGAGCGGCAGACTGGGTGGTTTCCTGGGATTCCAGAAGCCTTGGGAGTGATGATGGCTTCTGAACCTTTTAAAAATGGTAATAACTAAAATCACAAACCCCGTTTATTGAGGACGCTCGGCCTGCCAGGACTCATGCTGTGCATTTTCCCTGACTCGCTCTTTTAATCTCATGGTAACCGTGGGAGGCTGGGACTGCTTATACTCACATTGTACAAATGAGAGGGCTGAACTCAGAGAGGCCCAGCCACTCGGCCAAGGTTACTTTTCACTTGGCCAAGGCCGCGCGGCTAGAGAACGGCGGTGCTGGGGCTCCCACTGCTGCTGTACGCCACCTCTCCCCCAAACCAGATGGAAACCTCCTGAAGGCCTATCCTTTAAGGGAACAAAGAGAGAGCCTTGCTCCTCTGCTGCCCGCACAGCTTGGGAACAGAAGTTACGTACACGCAGTCATTATTTTTAAGCATTAAAGCAACAACAAGTCACTATCACCTTTGTCCTGGGCTAGACGGAAAAATTAATGTGTCAGGAATGAACCATAAATAGACTTTGCAGAAAAATCATTACCCCCAGGAGCCAGTGGCACCCAAATAACAAACATAATCAAAGACGAAAGCAGCTATTTCATCATTTCATTAATCACAGGTCACACCACTGGCCAGTGCAGTGTGGCCCAGAGGTCCCACTCCAGTCCCATCCAGTGTCACCCCTGATTCCACCATGACACAGACTTAAGTTCCTGAGTCACCACCTGGGCTACAGGCTACAGGACTGGTCACCACTTCCTGCAACTCCTTCATGCTGTTCCAGACATTTCTTGTGGGATTCATGGCTCCAGTGGAACCTTCTGGGGCTCAATGCTCATTCCTCAGCAAGTGGTTAAATCTTTGGCTCGAAAAGCCCTTCAGAGATAACACCATCCAGGCCCTTACAGGATAATAACCACACTCAAAATAGTAAGAATTAATAAAAGTAGTTGCTTAGTGATATCAGGCACTGTGGTGAGCTCTTTAAGGAGCACCTCTCATTTCATCCTCAAAACAGAATCTGAGTGGCAGATGCATTTATGACCCCTCATTTCACCCTTTGGTAGTTCACCTGTGTTTTAATGACAGAAAACTCTGCTTTTCTCTTGGGTTCTGTTGGTTAGTTGGGTGCTAAAGGCTTCTGGGGTGCAGGGAGTAAGGACGTTCACCCAGAGTCCCACAGACTGGAGCGGGCGGCGTGGATTCAAACCCGGGCTCTGTGAGTCTGCCCTCGCTGCACGCTGCCTCTCAGAGAGGCAGTGAAGGAGCCGCAAGTCATGAGTTAGCAGAAAAAGCATGGTTTCTGGACTGTCTCGCTGGCTCCCTGTAGTTTCCCTGGGAAACTCTGAGCCCTGGTTGCCCTCCCTGACATTGCTAATAATGGCCATGCAGCCCCCACTTGGCCACCTCCAGTGGTGGGGGCTCATCACCTCCCCAGGAGGCCCCTTCTCACCGTGTGCTCTCTGCCTCCGAGCTGAAATGTGCAAAGCCTCCCCGCTGGCCCCACTTTTCCAGAGAGCAAATCTAACTTGCCTTCCGCACGACGGCCTTGCTCTGAGAGGACCTGTAAGGCAGCAACTAGAGCGATTTAATGCCACAAACACTCTCTGAGCACCCATGGGGTGGATACAGAGAGGAGCAAGCCCTCCTCTGATGGAGGGGAGCGGGGAGGTGGGGAGAGAGAGAGGGATGTGGAATGGGCAGCTGATAGGGTTAGAAGGCCAAAGAAGCAGATAATTGCCTGGGAGGGACAGGAAAGCTTCCAGAGCACCAGCGGGAGGAAAGGGTGGTGGTCTGGAGTCAGTGCCCGGTGCCCCGGGCTCCTCGATTTCTGTTCCGCCTCCTGAAGAGTGCCCCACGGCCGCTGAACACACCCAGGGTCTTGCATTGTTTAAAAGGCTGCCTTGACATGGCATCCACTGGTCACGATTCTGTCTCTGCTGTCTGCTCAGCCAAACTGCCTGAGCCAAACTCAGGCACACGGCACCATCTCCACAGCCTCCCCTCTGGATCATCAGGGGCACGTCCATTAGCTACCTCTCCGCCAAACTGCTTCTGCCCAATGACCGCGCATCTTCCATCTCTGAGCTCTTCTTTGCTCTAGCTCTCTGCAGCATTTGACAACGTGGAAGACTTCCTGCTGGAAATGCCCTCTTCCCACTTCGCTAACACCTCACTCTCGGGCTTTTCTTGGTATGTTTTTGCTAACTCCTGACTCAGGCTGTGTGTCTCTGCTGGCTTTTCTCTGCTTTACCGGGTGTGGGGTCCCGCAGGGCTCTCCCGGGGCCCTGCTTCTTTTCTTTCTTCGTGTCATTCATTCCCTAGGCTTTAAATATCTTCCGTGAATCAATGCCCTCGTCCAAATCATTATCTCCAGGCCAGACAGCTTTTTTGCCACTGAGATGTCTCATTAGCATCTCAAAAAGCCTGTTAGAAATGGATCTTTCCATCTTGCCTTTCGAACCTGCTTTTCCTTAAATCCTACCCATTTCAATAAATACTATCTCCACCCACCTCCTTGCTCCAGCCAGAAGTCTGAGAGCCATTGTTGAAACTCCTCTCCCTCAGTCCCCACCTCTCCCCACCATCCCCCCTACTTTACACCCCTCCTTGCCATCTCCACTGTCACCCCCCAACCCAGCCTGAGGGGCCTGCGCTCCGCCGGACTCCCACACAGCCTTCTGGCTGTCTCCCCGCTTCCACCATTGCCCCCTGCCAACACAGCATCCACAATGACCTTTAAGAAACACGAAATAAGTCACGTATTCTCCTTCTTTAAGCTCCCCAACAACATCCAGAACAAAATCCACATTCCTCACCCTGCTCTGAGGGCGGGCGCTGCAAGATCCAGCCCCTCCTGCTTCTGCAGCTGCTCCATGTGCCAGCACACCCCTATTTTCCTGCAAGCCACCCCCTGCCCTCTTTCATTTCCTGGAAGCTGTGTACACCTTCCCCCCTCAGGGCCCCTGTCACCAGCTGGAACACGCTTCCCCTCAGTCTTCACCTGCATGGCACCTAGATCTCAGCTCCGGTGTTGCTGACAGATAGCCCTGACCCACTGCCTCATATCGATTAGGTCTTCTCTGCTGTCCTCCTTAAAACTTAGTTATTTTATTTCGTAGTTCTCATCACAACATGTGATTACATGTTTATTTCTGTGTTTCTGTGTTTAATGTCTGTCTGTCCACGTCTAGGGCGTGAGGCCTGGGTGTGTCCTAGGGGTCACTGCACGTGCCATCACTGCCAGCACCTGGCATGTGGGAGGGGGACACTAGCTGACTAACTGAATGAAATCTACAGGCGTAGTGCATGGCACGTGGTGGGTGTTTGGTAGATATCCGTCCTCTCCTCCCTGCCCCCTGCTTGGGTCACTGGCGGATTTTAGGAGATGCCTTCAGCATCCACTTAGGGTGGACAGAACCTGGGCTTTACATCAAACACACCTAAGTTCCCATCCAGGGTCTGCCTCTCCCAGCTGCTGGGTGACCTTGGCGCATCACTTCACTTCGGGAGCCTCAGCTTCTACCTACGCTGCCGGGCTCTTCTGGGGGCTCAATGAGAACACAGATGTCAGGGGCCCCGCCCGGTGTCTGGCACAGGGAAGATGCTCCATGAATCTGAGCTTCTTTCTTTATTGTCTTTAGAGGATCAGAGGGGCTAAGCGTGGCCAATAAACAGCCTGCTGTCCTGGAGGACAGAAGCAAAGACTCTCCCTTCCATTGTAGTTGCTGTGTTTCCAAAAAGTAGGCAATTTGGGGGAAGTTAGGCTGCCCTAACTCACCCACCACAGGCCACTTCCCTGCTCCCGCTGTTTGCTCCCAGTTAACTGGCTGTGCCTTCTGGAATTCACAGAAGACCAGAGTCCAGAGCCTTGGGGGTGCGCATGCCCACACACCAGGAGGACCGAGCCCTGTCCTCAAGGAGAGAGCCCTCTGAGGAGCTCTGAGGAGCCAGCCTGTCACTTGGAGAGGTGACGGGAGGAAGATCAGTGTCAAAAATAAGACAGAGAAGTGGGTTTCAACTTGACTCACATTAAGAATGTCACTTTAGAGCACAAACGAAAGAGAAGAGAAATGCTCTTTTATGCAGGAGTTTATTTTTGTCACTTTGTCAGAGAGAAATTGCAGCCCTGAGGGCATTGGAGCTGCACAGAATTACCCAAAACATTAACATGCAAATTGCCTTCTTTAGAGAAAGTAATTTTATTAGTGCACGAAAACGTTTCTTTCACTGTACTCAGGCTCAGGAGCAGTGTTGTCTGGGGGCCAGTTGGGGCCGCCGCAAATGGAGAATTAGGGAGAGTCCTAAACTTGGTTAGGATTCTGTTACCTCCTCTCCTTGGGACCACGCATGGAACACGCTTCTGGGGGTGTTACCATGGTTACACGGTTACAGCTGGTTGCCATGGGCACACTGAGTGTAGAGGGCAAGGGACTTGTTCAAGATCATGCAGCATGAATGGCAGAAGAAGAGGTGGAGCGTGAGGTCGCCTGACCTGTGTCCGTGAGCGACAGGGAACCACTGGGGGTCCTGGAAGTAGCCACTCGGAGAATAATGAGATCCCAGTGGCATTCTAGCCTTCTATTCACTTATTTATTCACTCACTCACTCATCCATTCAATAAGCTTTCGCTGTCCTAGGCCCTGGGGCCGAGATATGAATCAGGCACTGGCAGCAGCACCCGCAGGGGGCGGGTGGAGAGGCATACAGATGTATGCAACCACTGATGATCTAGCCAGGTCAGACCTACTGGAGACGAGTGCCAAGAACTGACAGACCACAGGCCAGAGTATGGCTGACTGTTTGGCAGGGAGGCAAGGAGAGGGGCCTGGAAGCTTCACTAAGGAGGGTGTCACATGTGGGCATTGTCCAGGTAGTCAAGGTAGGGAAGGGCATTGCAGGCAGGGAGAAAAGCATGAGCAGAGGCACGGAAGGAAGCATGTTGGCCTGGCCCAGACTAGCCTGTATGGCTGCTGCACAGGGTGCGTGGGAAGAGGGGGGCTGAGGTTGCAGAGGATGGAGAGGAGGCTGGCCAGGCCAGTCTCAAAGGCTGAAGAGCTCAGATTTTACCCTGCAGGTGGCAAGCAGACCTGCAGGGCCTGTTCAGAACAGAACCACGTTCCGGAGACTTCACGAGGGAGGGGGTTTCCCAGGCCCTGGAGTGCCAAAATGACAGAAGGTTGTATGAGGCTGCGCTTACATAAGACTTCTCCTCCCTTCACAGACTTGATCAGCGGGGAAGTGTGGGCAGAGACACCCACCTGCTACCAAGAAGAAAGCACCTCAGTCATGCAAGGTCTCGCTGAACAGTTCAGGTATGCACCATGCCCAAGAGGCCACTGTCCCTCGCCCTGAGTTGGTTGGCGGTTGTCTCACATGACTGTGGTGGGGCACGGGGAACTGCTCCCACTGCCCCAGGAGCCGTCTTTTAGGGAAGTGAAGGGAAAATGCGGCTATTTCAAGTACACACAGAGCTAATGTGGAGATCTTGAGTGGGCATACTCTATCTCAGGGTTTGCCAACCTCGACACATGTCAGATTCGGGGCCAGACAATTCTTTGTTGTGAGAGTTTGTCTTGCGCATTACAGGATGTTTTGCAGCATCCCTGGCCTCTACCCACTAAATGCCAATAGCAACTTGCCTCCTTCCCCAGTTGTGACAACCAAAATGTCTCCAGACATGGCCAAATGTCCCCTGGGGAAATTGCCCCCAGTTGTGAACCACCGGTCTATCTAGACTTCAAGGAAGACTTATGGAGGTCAAGGATGCCTGCCCACTGGAAGCCTCCCCAGTCTTCCAGCGAGATGCAGAGCACCAGCAGGGCGTGGGCGCTGTCCTCTCCGCTCTCCCATGGGGCAGAGTGTAGGTTTCATCACACATGTGTATTGACTACCTCAAAAAAAAAAAGTATCTAAATTACTCCTAAAAAGATCAAGGAAAAAGAGCAGGGTGGAGAGGGAGAAAGCCAATGGATAGTAGGTGGTTCTCCCAATAACTCGCCAGGGTCTCAGAGTCTCTCATCTGTAAAGCAAGGGCATTGGAATGGATGATCTCTAAGGCCTTTCTGGTTTTAAACACTATGATGCAATAACAGTAAGATAAACACACGTTGGAGAATGCCCCCAACAGATGTTGAAATTGGCCCCATGTGAGAGACAGTGAACTATGGGATGGATAAGGCTCTAAAATGGCTAATCTGGCCATTCCCTTGATGAGAGACAGAGAACTGGTCAGATGACTCATGCAGTTCTCACTTTACTCACAGGTTAAATGACTAAGCCCAGATTTCATGAGGAATTCCATGGAAAATCTCTGCCAGGGCCTGTATGTTAAACACTTTTGGAATGCTTGTGATTGGTGCAGTTTCTCAAAGACCATTAGAACCTGAAGACAAATAATTTTGGCTCTACCACCCACTACCTGGGTGACCCTGGGCATAACACTTAACCTCTCTGAGCCTCAGCTCTCTTCTCTGTAACCTGGAGTAGAAAGGTTAACTCTCAGGACTAGAGGGAAAAGTGTAAAATGCTAACAGAAAACTTCCAGTTTCAGCTCCAACATGCAAAGAGCTTAGAAGTCATCACTCCCATCCTCACAACAAGAAAAAAGATGAGCAAACTGAAAATCGATGCCTTTTCTTACATCCAGCTGAGAATTGAGGTCACAGGGCAAACCGCCATCCTGAAAAGAGGACAGACAAGTAAATACAGAGAATCACAGCTGAGATCAGCTTACTGGCAAAAGAGCTGCTGGAGCCAATAACTGATAGGAACATTTAATTGGTAAGCGAAGAATTTCTGGAGGCTGAGTGTGGACTAGATGGAGAGTTAAAAACTCCTGGGGGTCCAGTCATAGCGGGTCTTCCACACTTTTGTGGTTTTACTCCAGCACCCCACCAGGCTCTCAAGGTGACAACTGTAGAAAAATCCCTCATGCTTCCGGCAGGGGTGGGGGTGGGGGGGAAAGTAACCATTTTGAAATATGCCCAGAGCATTCTCCATATCAAAAGACTGCCCTCCATGGAAATTACTTTACCTGAGGCTTAGCTGACTGAAAAAAAGGGCAATTAGTCAACTCCAGCCTCTCTAGCCTTCCGCCTCACATAGGGGGAGAGTAAAAGGCTCAGACACACTTCTGAAAGTCGCATCCAAGGACTCAAGCCCACTAGGAAACTGAGACTTAATCATAATATCACAGAATGCCTTCTTTCCCCAGCACCTTACCACCACATCAACGGGGCTCTAGCATAACAACAGCGGGTTACAACTGAGAGAGCTGCAAGACAAGAGTCTATTTAAGAAGGAGTTTTTAGGGAAACCCTAAGACGACAGATGGAGAAAATCAAGGAAACTAAAGTCTGGCACCAACAGCTGCAGCAAACATTAAACACAGCCCAGCTTCTAGCCAGATTAACATATAACCTCACACCAAAAGCCCGATTACCTCAGTTCCTACTACCAGATACATCATGTCCAGCTTTCAACAAAAAATTACAAGCCCTGCTAAAAGGCAAGAAAAAAACATGAGCTGAAGAGACAAAGTAAGCATCAGAACTCGACTCAGATATGACACAGATGTTAGAGTCATCTGATGGGAATTCAAAATAATGATGAGCAATAGCTAAGGGTTCTACTGGAAAACGTAGGCACTGTTCAAGAACAGATGGGTAATGTAAGTAGAGAGATGGAAACTCTAGGAAAGAATCCAAAGGAAATGCTAGAAATAAAAAACGTTGTAGCAGGAATGAAGAATGCCCACAGTGGACTTATCAGCAGACTGGATGTGGCCAAGGAAAGAATTGGTAAGCCTGAAGATATGGCAATAGGAACATCACAAACTGAAATGAAAAAAGAATGAAAAAAAGGAGCCTGTCCAGGAACAGTAGGACAACTACAAGAGGTGTAACATACACACAATGGGAATACCAGAAGGAGAAGAGAGAAAGGAGCAGAAGACACATTTGAAGTAATAATAGCCGAGGATTTCCCAAAATTAATACAGACACTCAAACCACAGATCCAGGAAGCCCAGAGAATAACAAGCAAGAGAGATACCAAAAAATATATGCCTAGGCATATCATATTTAAACTGCAGAAAATCAAGAGACAAAGAGAAAATCTTCAAAGAAGCCAGAGGAAAAAACACTTTACCTATAGAGGAACAAGGATGAGAATTATATTGGCCATCTCATCAGAAATCTTGCCAGCAAGAAGAAAGTGGAGTCAAATATTTAAAATGTTAAAAGAAAAAACCCCTACCAACCTAGAATTCTGTATCCAGGGAAATTATCCTTCAAAGGTGAAGTAGAAATAAGGACTTTCTCAGACAAACAAAGACTGAAGGAATTTGTTGCTGGTAGATTTGCCTTGCAAGGATTGTTACAAGAAGTTCTTCAGAAAGAAGGAAAATGCTGTAGGTCGGAAACTCAGATCTAAATAAAAGAAAAGAGCATCAGAGAAGGAATAAATGAAAGTAAAACAAAATCTTTTTATTTTCTTATTCTTAATTGATCTGATAGATAACTGTTTGTTCAAAGTAATAGAAGCAACAATGTATTGGGTGATTATAGCTTAGGAATAAGTGAAATGAATGACAGCAATGTTATCAGGGAGGGAGGGAGGAATTGGGAATACAATGGTATAAGGTACCTGCACTATCCATTAAGTGGCATAGTGCTATTTGAAAATGGACTTATTAGCTGGAAACATACATTGCAAACTCTAGAACAAACACTGAATTCTCTTTTAAAAGAAGTATAATTGATAGGTTGAAAGAAGAGAGAAAATGAAATCATATAAAATACTCAATTACTTAAGGCAGAAAAAGAGGGGAAGATAAAAAAGAAACAAAGAATGAGTACAATGAATAGAAAGCAGTTACAAACATGGGAGATATTAACCCAACTATATCAATAATTACTTTTCACGTGAATGGTTTAAATATACAAGTTAGAAGACAGAGATTGTTAGAGTGGATAAAAATACAAAATTCAACTGTATGTTGCTTACAAGGAACCCACTTTAAACATAAAGATGTAGATAAAAAGTAAAAGGATGGAGAAAGCTATATCACGCTAACACTAACCAAAAGAAAGTTGGAGTAGTACATTAACGTCAGACAAAGCAGATTGCATAACAAGGAAAATTACCAGGGATGGAGGTGGGCATTACATAATGATAAAGGGGTCAATTCTTTGATGACACAACAGTCCTTATAACACAGATATAACTAAAGACAGTGTCAAAATACATGAGAGAAAGCCAAAAGAACTGCAAGGGAAAATAGACAAATCTACTATTATAGTTGGAGATTTCAACACCCCTCTATCAGTAATTGACAGATCCAGCAGGCAGAAAATTGGTAAGGATAGAGTTGAACTGAACGGCACCATCAATCAACTGGGTCTAATTGACATGTATAAAATACTTCATCTGACAAGAGCAAAATACATTCTTTTCAGTTCACGTGGAACATTCACCAAGATACACTACATTTTAGGCCATAAAACACATCTTAGCAAATTTAAAAGAATACAAATCATACAAAGTATGCTCTCAGACCACAATGGAATTAAACTAGAGATCAAAAACAGAAAGATAGCTGGAAAGTCTTGAAATATTTGGAGATTAAATAGCACATGTCTAAACAATATATGGGTCAAAAAATAAGTCTCAAGAGAAATTTAAAAATATTTTGAACTAAATGAATATAAAACTGGAACTTACTGAATTTTGTGGGGTGCAGTGAAAGCAGTGCTTAGAGGGAAATTTATAGCATTGAATGCAAATATTAGACAAGATGAAAGATCTAAAATCAATCATCTAAGCTTCCACCTTAGGAAACTAGAAAAAAGAAGAGCAAATTAAATCCAAAAAAGCAGAAGGAAAGAAATAATAAAAATTGGAGTGCAAATCAATGAAATTTAAAACAGGAACTCAATACGGAAACTCAATTAAACCAAAAAGTGGTTCTATCAGAGGATCAATGAAATTGATAAACCTCCAGCCAGATGAACAAGGAAAAAAGAGAGATGATTACTAGAATACTAATTAGTCATTAAAAATTACTACTATCAGAAACGAAAGAAGGCTCATCACTACTGATTCCGTGGACATTAAAAGGGTAATAAAGGAACATTATGAATAACTCTATGCCCACAAATTTGGTAACTTAGATGAAATGGACCAATCCCTTGAAAGATACAATTTCCCAAAACTCATACAAAAAGAAAAAGATAATTTGAATAGGCTTGTATCTACCAAAGAAATTTAATCAATAACTAATAAACTTCCACAGAAGAAAACACTAGGCTCT